GAAACCCTGAAGGTCTTCCCCAAGGGGCTGTGCTCTGAAAAATTACTCCCAACTGCAGTCATAGGAATCAGCAGTGATGCCAACGACTGGTATTTACATCAGGCAAACAAATATAACAGGAATAGAAAAGGCAGTACATTCCACATAAAGATGTTCTCTTTTCATATGAGAGAAGAGGCAGTTCAGAATTATACTAACCAGTAAGGCTGGTCTGGTCAAAACTAGACAGTAAAACAATTTTGTCTTTGGAAAATTTTCCAAGCTTGCACTAGGGACTTTTTCTCTACAACTCTACCCAGTAACAGATGTCCCCTGTGGTTCTACCCTATTGGTCACTGACTTTGCCTCTACAGGCCAGAGGATTCACATGCATTCTACTGGTGGAGGGTTAGTTGGTCAATGTGTAATTATACCTCTTGAGTAGCAAAAGTTTTCACTCAACTTAATGAGTCCTAAAGAACAATAATTCCTGTGGACAATCTGGAGACTAGCCCTGGTCAGGGGAGACTTTGATTGTCTGGTATGGGTGGGCCCTGTCTTTCAGAGAGGCTACGATCTCCACTTTGCTCACAGGGCCTTCAGGAAGAAAAGCAGGGCAGCAAAAGCACACTGCATACTGTAGAAGCTATTGACAGTGGTTTCAGTGAGAGCCTTTGGCATTTATCAGAAACCAACATGAGTATTTCTAAATATTGCCTTGAGTAGAAGGGTGGTTATCTGTGATGCTCAGAGTAAGTGTGGGTTATGTGTTATGGCTGGAAAGGGAAATTCCACCTCAACTTTCTTCCCAGATATTTCCCCACATCTCTAATATATTCTATTACAGAGATTACACTGAGATTCATTGGCATTTTCAAAGCCCTTGAAAATACTCAGCAACACTCGTGTGGACATAAACTGCTGATTGTCCCCCAATATTTATTGTCCTTTTATAATACGACAGAGGAAAATAAAATGGGGTCAAACCCCCTGCCCCAACTAAAATCTAAACACCCTGCCTCCCTTGCAGCCAGCTTCTGGACGATGGGTTGTTTGTGATGTGTGAATTCCGGGTAGTGTTCACAAGGCGAACATAGTTATCAGAAAGAAGGAAAAGAGGAGTTAAAGAGTTCTGTCAGCTAAACCTAATGGTTTCCTGTGACTAGCCTAGATGGTCTTCTCACCCTATGCTGGACTCTGTTCAAGGTGAATGCCAAATGGTATATGCTTAGATTCCGAGCACACTAACACAGACTAGCACACAGACACATGCATATCAGCTCCTTCTTCCACAGAGGTAAACATGTAAATCAAGGACCATAACCGTGAGAGTATACCGGAGAGATGCCTAATATTGAGCTTATTTTGAGGTAATGGAATTGAGAATATTTAAAAAGTGAAGCAAATTGCATAGGATACAATTCACTGACGCAATGTAACTCAAGTTGCATAGCTCTCAAACAATGTTATCATTTCTTGGTGACTGGGGATAATAGTAAATAATAATATCAAAAGTTATTTATGGGTGACTTTTGCCAATCCCAAATGAAAGATTGTCTCCTGATGCTACTTTAAGAGGTCTCTTAAGCTAATTAAATTTTGGACTAAAAGCAAAAAAGACATTATTAGCTAAACTTACACAGCACTTATGGCATACCAGGCACTGTTCAAAGTGCTTTGAAGAATTAATTCATTTAATACTCACATCTAATTTATAAGGTTGGTATTATTTTCCCATTTCTTAGATGAGGAAACTGAGAATAAGAGACTTTGTCACAGAACCATTAAATGACAGGCCTGGAGTGCTAATTCAGGCAGTCTGGCTCTAGAATCCCTGATCTGAACCATGAAACCATGTTACTTTTTCAGGAACACAGCAAAAGGTTGATTTCAGTTTTTCGAGCTGATTACAAAAGCCTGTGAACATTTTTTTTCAACAATTAGAAACTCTAAAGAAAAGTGAAACTTAACAAATAATGGAAATTAAGTAGGAAAGTCTTAGAGAGGCAAGATAAACAGCTTTTGACTTCAACATTACAATTGAGCATATTTTGATAGTGGGACAGAGGCACTAAATTAAAGAGCTTCTCAGTGACACGGAAGTCTATTCAAGGCCGTAATCAACACCGGGGTTAATCTTTTCATGCCTTAATTCAAGAAATCCTGTAGCTGCAGAATGCGTTTCTAAACCTTTATGTAATATGTGGTGGGCATTTTTGTTTTAACAATACACGGGCATTTGGTAGCAGACAGAGCTTTATCTCTGGTGTTCTTCCCTGTGCACATTTCCATAGAAACGAAGAGCTGGAGCTGGAGCCAGATGGAAACACTATGCCATGAAACCTGAACTTTAGGAAATGACAGACAGAAGCAGAGCACCTTCTGTCCTTGTGCATCTGCTTCAACCCAAAGATGTGGCCAGTTTGTGATGGAGCAACTCAATTTGTGTATGATGTGGAGTATAGTGTTTAAAAGCTGATCCATCGACCATATTGAACGACCACAATAAAGCAGAAAGAGGACACAGGCAAGACCCAAATGGAGACATGGCCCTCACCATGTTCTCAAAAGAGCCAAACTATAGATGTCCTCTCCTTACTGGATCAGATTGGAATTTTTTTTATTACAATAACCAGTATCAATCACAGATTTCCTACTACTTTTATTCTGGATCACACATAATGCCAAGCGACATCTGGACATTAACTACAGCCCTCCTGCCTGTCTGAAGGTGAAATTCTCAGTTGATCCTCACCTGAACAAGTGTTTCTAGGCCTCAGACAAATGGTCCAGGGCAATAGGACAGACAACTGATAGAGACACTTGCCCCTGCAGCATGAAGAGAAGGTATTGACACTTTTATTATGTTCATCAGGACAGAAATCATATGCCAGACACTGAGAGGCAGATTTCCCTCTATTTTTTTTTTTTTGAGAAACACAAAAAGCAAGCAAGCATATTTTTGTTATAAAGAAGGACCTTAAACAGGAAGTTTGCAGAGAACATGATATTTTTTTCCAACCTTATTATAGATGCAGCCTTACTCCTATGAAGAAGCACGCAGATCTCACATTGCTTTGAAGTAGGGGGAAAATCTTCAAAAATTATCTTTAAACACTTTGAAAATAAGCTACTGTAAAGAATTCAGCAATTTAGTAAATCACAGGAAATCCCCAAATATAAAGGATATAATGAATGTGGTTTTAAGAAATGAATCTGTCAGCTCTGTCTGGGAGAACAAATTATACCAAATGTTCCTTAGCTCAACTCATATCCTTACTTTAATGCAATTAATGCTACAATCCATTACATCAACTGCTATATAAGATATCTGGCCAGTACTTTGTACAAGTCTTCCCATTTCATTTTCCAAATAATTTGATTCATTATATTTTGGGCTAAATATATTGCATAATATATTCATTCATTTATTTCATTTAACTTTAAAAACTTAACTATCTTAAATAATAATGTTAAAACTTACTTCTCATTTAATTGAATTTTGTGGGGGTTGGCTTAATGAAAATAATATTATCAAAAATACCATTAACATTTATTGAGCTTTTATTATGTATGCTTAGTATATTAACCACTTTACCCATATCATTGCACTTATAGTCTTCACAATAGCCCCATAATTTAGGTACAATTGTTATCTCTATTTTCTAAATGAGGAAACTAAAGAGAAGAGAGGATAAAAAAAACATAATCAAGGTCACACAGTAAGTGGCAGAGCCAGTCAATGAACCCAATTCTAACACTCCAGTCCATTTTTTTGTAAACTCTATGTCAGAGCACATTGGGAGGAGGAATAGAAGTCACACACCCGCTGCAATGTGGCATAACACTGAAAATGTTTTGTCTCCATTTCACAGAGAGTAGTTTATATACTCTTCAAATTGGGATGAATTCTGTTCAATAATATTTGACTCTAGTTGTAGTTGCATAACTATAGGCTTCTCATGGAAGGCGAAAGTCACTCAACCATCTAAGCACCTAGTCGACTTAATACCAAATACTTACAAACATAAAAATGTTTGGTTGACTGAGCATATTTTTACTCCATGCCTGGTTTTGTGGCATCCTGCCACCATAGAGACAATTTCTAAACCACACAGTTCTAGAATTGAAGATGGGCTTCCCATAAGACCTCAGTGATCATATTTTCTAATATAAAACCGCAGCACACAAACTGATAAATGTGCGCTTATGAGGGATAATAAAACAGAATATTTGAAGCTAGACTAACTGAGAAATCAGAATTTTCTACTAGCCATTCATAAGCCTTTCCCCTTTATAATATATGGGTCCCTGTGTAAACATAAGGGAGCAAGTGACTTCACAATAAAGAAGGAATTGTCTTCTTTTGCCTGCATGAAGTCTTTGCAGAAGAGGACAAATGTAATCTATGTAGAACTCAACTTGTTTTTGATGTTCAATTGGTAGTCAAGTAGAAAATAGATGCAATGACAGAATGCTTAGCTCTTATATTTCTCAGTACTTTCTCATTCAGTATTCTCAAGGCACATACCCTACTGAAGCAAGTATAGAGATTTCATTTAAAGAAAACATTGTTCAAGAGTAATCATGGAGACAGGTATAACCCCAGTTATCCAATACTTTTCCTACACAACTGAACACTACAACATTCTGCTAGACTCAGTATGGAAAGAACAAGCTATCTATTCACCATCAGCCAGAGCATTTTTTCTGGTAGTAGTAATAACTTTGTATTTATTTATAACATCTACTTAGTTCTCTTTCCTTACCTTCAGTATGTGTTTTTAAGAAGTTGGCCAGGCTATGGATCCAACGCCTACTATTTAGACATGTGAATACCACATTCTAATATGCTTCATGTCCTATAAATGTCTTCAGTGAAGAAATCTAACTGCTTGGTTTCGTCTACCATTACCCACTTAGCATAAATCACATCCTACTAAGTTCAGCAAGGGGACAACACGTTGCCTCCAAGACTCTCTGAGAAATAAAACCATAAATAAAGTAAGTAGGTGCCTTACCATGGATGCTCCAAATGTCGGGGCGTGGTCTTAGGAAGAGGACCCAAAACAATTTTCCAATTCCAAGCATGTCTGGCAGTGTCTTCATTGCCTATGCATATCAGGGATGGAAAAATTGCTCAAGTAGGTTTTCTTTCCTTCTCTGACTTCTTCAGCGTTGGATCATGTTACCTACCCCAGTGGCATTTGTGAAATAATAAAAAGAGAAGACAGAGGAGGTGGAAGAGGACAATAGAAAGAGCCTGAGCGATTTTGTGAAACAAAGTGAGCAGAAAGACTATGAGGTATTTTGTTGTGTGGTTTTTGCTTCTTGTCAAATCATCTGCTCACTTTCAAATACTGTGATCTGCAAAGCAGCTCCGTCCTTAACTTCTCCTTCCGTTCTACCACCCTTTTGCCTGCCCCACCTTGAGGTTTTGTTTCCATTCAACGTTCAGCGAAATGAACAATTAAACTTTAAAGAAATCTATATTGTTGCAATCTTTAGGTTGAGATTTTAATCAAATTGAGGTCAGGAAATTCATCATAAAAGTACCTACGGTAAGTATATATTTTCCCCTTTTTTATAGCTTGTGATTATGAAACTTCTTTTATGTAAAAGCTTTTTAGAATTTTTTTCCCTGAACATCATGTCTCAGTAAGATGAGAAGGCTTATTGTCATTAAACCAAGTGAAAACTTATCTGAGGTTATGGAGAAAATGAGTGACAGGAAGCACTTCCTTAACAGAAGAGGGAAGAACAGCACTTTTAAGTCTGTAGGTACATATCAATGGAACAGATCGTCACTGATATTGGCTACATGTTCTCTGTAAATAATAAAGTTCTGAGCTAAAGGACAACTTGAATATTAATTAAAGGAAACTTCCATTTAAGACATTGTTCATGCAGTTGTTGTCTGGATATTGTACAATAGAAACAATATTCACAACAGTGAATCAAATTCACCCACCTTTTAAGATTTCAAATGAGAAATCTAGATTTGTGATATTTGTGGTCATTATTGGAAGTTGATTTTGTAAGTCTTTCTCTTAGAGGTTGATGATTTTCTTACAAGGTCAATGGTTTTAAATAATAAAGTTTAAAAAACACAGTTATGTATTCATTGATTCAAATAGATAATGTGCTGTGGTTGGAGATAAAAGATGAATAAGTAACTGGTGCTGATTTTAAAGAACTCAGTCAATCAGATTTGTAACTTCCTCACATCAGCCTTTAGTGTTGGCATTTAAATATTCATCTTTTCAACCACACATAGTATAATATAGAGCAACTATACATAGCCTCTTAGAACTTCCATTGCTGATCAAGTAAACACCCCGGGGAAATAGCATTTACACAACTCCTTCTTTTCCTGTGTTCAAGGTGGAGTACAAATCTTCTATGGCAGCTGAAGCAAGTCTTGTTGTCCCTTTCAAATGACCCTATTGGGCAAAAGCCATAAACCATAAGCCATGGAGCTCAGGATATCATTCCCAAACAGAAAGTAATCATATTGACTTTGTTCATCTCAGCTTAAAACCTTTATGATTCATTATTTTAAGTATTATTTTCTTATTTTAAAAAGTCCATGCTAACTAGATAAAATTTGGAAAAGTCTTATGTAGCATCTAATGCATTTTTTTCAAAGCTACATATTTTGTTACTTTTATCAGTGTGCCTGGCTCTTTAGCCCTCCACAGCTGGAGTCCTGAGACCTTTACTGCAGACAAAACCTTGCCTCAGAATCTGACTCCTGTCTTTAGTGTAGTAAAGAGGAACTGAAAGAAGCCAGATTCAGAAGGTTGCTAGCTCAGTAACAAGTCAATCTTGCTCTAAGTTTATACCTCATTCAGTAATGAAGCTTCTACCTTGACCCCATCCCATCAGAGTCATGTACTATTTGATCAGAAAATTATAATCTTCATTAAAATGTTCAAATATAAAGAGTTTACTACATACTTACTACATTCTTAAAAGTGATTGCAATGTATACCAGAACCAATTTTAAAAATGTGAATCTATTGCTAATTTTATGTTAAAAGACAAAAAGCAACATGAAATTTGGTACCTTCAAATTCTCTTTGCAAACATCTCAGGTGCTACTTGGAGGACAAATTTCTCAGTTCAATTACACACTCAGCTGCTTTCACAGATTGTGAAGCAGCTACAGTTTCTGCAATATTTTCTGCCATGTGATTAGAGAACCATCAATCAAGGTAGAGGTCCCTGAAGGTCTTACCACTGATGTTACACAACATCAACCCCAGAGAGATGAAGCTTGGTTCTGATATGCCTCCAAAAAAACATTCCGTAGTTTCTACCAAAAATGTAGTATAGCATTAAAATCTTTGACATTCTTCTACTTATATCCTCTCACCAATGTTATTGTTAGTAATGGTTTCTATACATGACTACTTTAGAATCAGCCTGAGTACTTTTTATAAAATGGATGAAATTTCTGGATCCTATTCCCATTGAATCAGAATCTCTCAGGTTTGATGCCAGTATCGCTATTTTTCAGCTCCAAAGATGACTTTGATAGAGTTGTTTGAATGAATATTTGGAAAACAATTGTGAGCCAGCAGGGCATATGAACTTTTGAGTCACAAAAGACACGGTATCAAATCTTTGTCACTGAATAGCTACAAAACCTTTAACAGATTTCCTAAATTCTTAGAGTCTGTAGAAGACATAGAGATGCACCTCTCAGCTCTCCCTTCAGTGGTGTATTTGCTCTTAGCTGTGGGGAACACAGTAGGCAGACTGCCTCCAGGAGTCAACTCCTTCAAGGTCAGGTCAGCTGAGAACCCACTTTGACCAAGGTCATGCTCTCCCATGATGGCCTGCATCCAATGATAGAGCAAGGAAAGTTACATAAAGTGCTGGCCATTTTGTCCTGAAATGGGATGCTGATGGGCAATACTTGATCCAGAGCTCTCACTTCAGTTGACCACAGGTATATCAGGCCTGTGTCACAGTTTACTTTCTTCTTCTGCTCCCTTCCTTTTACAGGCATTGATTCCTAATCTATCTCAGTGTCTGCTTCCAGAGAACAAAACTTGCTACATATCTCAGTTTCCTGTTATGTAAAACACAGACAGTAATCCCTATCTGTTATGTTGATTAACTGAGATGTATATGCAAGGTGATCAGTAAATTGCATCTGTAATTATTTTCAAACTAATGATGGGCTTTTATTTGAAGAAGACGAATATCAAAATGTCCTGTATTAATAAGCCATAAAGTAATGATGGTGGAACAAGTTGAAAAGATCTACTTGCTAATAGATTCATTGTTGCGTAGAGATTGAGACTTTGAAGTAAATATCATAATAAAGCTTTGATTAGCAGAGGAATGGGACAAATTAAAGATGATCTGAATTATGAAAACCTATACAAGGATGGATCAGCCTTGCAGAGAGGCCTCAGGTTTGTATATAGCTTCTCATGGTTCCATGACCTATGACCTAAAAATCAAGATATATGCTCCCAACTTTCCCATAGAAGTGTTCTAAAAAATTTCATAGGCAATTGCTGATTGTTGAGTGAAGTGTCCTTTGCAATAATAAAGCATAATATAAAAGAATCTTACTTTTAGAACAACTGGTCTCCAAAAATAAAAAAAGAATATAGTATCCATATTTCAAATTCTTATATGGCAGTAATCAATTCTAACTGTATAATGTTTGGTCTATTTCAATAAAAATAACTGCTATGGTTTGAATGTTGGTGTCCTCCCAAAATTCATATGTTGGAATTTAACCCCTAAGGTGATGGTATTAAAAAGTGGGTGTTTTTGGAACATGATTAGGTCATGAAGGCTCTATTCTCATTAAAGAGATTAATACCCTTATAAAAGAGGGTTCAGAGAGCTGCCTGGCCCTTCCATCTCTTTTGCCATGTGAGGACACAGTGTTCATCCTTTTTTGTCCCCCTCTGCCATGTGAGGCAGCAAAAAGGCACCATCTTGGGAGCAGAGCCCTCCCCACACACTCGATCTACTGGTACCCTGATCTTGGACTTCCAAGCCTATAGAACTGTAAGAAAGAAATATATGTTTTTTATAAGATACCCAGTTTAAAGTATATTGTTATAGCAGCACAATTGGATGAACACAGTAACATAAGTTTCTGCATAGCTTTTCTCAATGCTTCATATTACTTAGAAAGCTACTTTAAGCCAAGGGGAAAAAGTATCAATATGACTTATTTTCAGGGTTGATTTTTTTTTTTTGAAAAGATGCATACACACACACATACACACTTCTGTTTAGAAAAGGGAATAAGGGAAACATAGGTAGCCACTGGTCAATAGTCAAGGTGCCCTGCTGCAGCAGTGGCTGAAGTTTCTTAATCAGCCCGTATAACAGCCCTAGCCTCTGCCCTCTGGAAGATCTTTCCAGTTTTTGAAAATAAAGTTCACTGGGAAGCAGACTCTGAGACAGAGATTAGCATGCAGGAAGTTTATTAAGGAGTGTACTGAGGACCACTGTGTATGGAGGCAGAGAGCAGGCTTGAATAAAGGCCAAAGGGAGAAATCAGATGTGATGCAGTCTCAGCAGAGGCCTCAGCAAAGCATAAGTTCTTGCAGCTGGCTTGACCCTGTAGAGTAGTTTTGAGTTTGGCCAAAGAGGTCGAGACCTTAATCTGATCTTTATGTACCTGCATTGACCAGTCATTCATTGGTTATAGGATGTGTCCAGGAGAGGGGGTGTGTAGTTGGGCAAGGTAGCTCTCTTCAGCAGTGGGAAATTCCCAGACGTGACTGACAGCTGAGGGCTCTCAGGCAGGAACATTCCCAGCACTTGGGGAAATAAATTATTCAGTCCTGAAGAGGGTCTGGATGGTGCACTGTAGCCTCCACCACACTCGTCCTCTCTCCTTTATGATCACAGCTGAGGTAGGCATTAGAGAAGACAGCTTTGGGGGAGCCACAGCTTTATCATTCTACTTCCTGTTTTTGCAAGCTGAGGTCCAAGTAGAGTTTGGGTGTTTAACAGTCACAAGCTATTATATGCTAGTCTTAACGTTCTCCAAAAAATCTGGTAGGATTTCTTTTATCTTTTATTATGTTTCATGCACAGACAACTACAGTTAAAGAGGTTATACAGTCATGGATTTTTTTAGCCAAAATCGACTTATTTACGAGGCACTATGCTCTGCCCATCCTCAAATTCTCATCTTAATGACAGCTACCTTGAGTCCATTTGAAATAGGATTAGGTGGGAAGGTAACTCTTAATCTGATCTTTATCAGTGAGCTAGCTCTCATTGTCAGGCAAATAACTCTCATAAGGCTTCTTTGAACTTGGGGTTCAAACTTGGGGTCAGAAACTTGTCTCCTTCAAAGGCTACAGTATTATAGCTGAGGTTAAGCAGCAGTTGATTTTTTTAAAAAACAAACTTTATTTTTAGAGCAGTTTTAGGGTTCACAGCAAAATCGAGTGGAAAGTACAGATAGTTCCCATATAGTCCTTCTCCTCACATGTACCACCTCTTCCACCATCAACATTGGCACCAGAGTGGTACCTTTATTACAACTGATGAATCTATATTGACATATCATCATCATCCAAAGTCCATATTTTACATTAGGGTACTCTTTTGGTGTTGTACATTCTATGGGTTTTGACAAATGTATAATGACATTTATCCCCTATTATAGTGTCATAAAAAATAGTTTCACTGACCTAAAAATTCCCTATATTCTGCCTATTCATTTCTATCCTAATCCCTAGTAACCGCAGGTACTTGGATATTGTTCATTGGTATTGTCTCCACAGCTTTGCTTT